GCACGGCGCCGCCATGGCTTTCCTGACGCAGCTGGCCCCCTCCGCGGCGCCCCGCATGGAAGCCCTCATAGCCAAACATCTGTTGCCTGGAGTCAAGAACGCTAAGGTGGGGTGGGATTATAGTTGGTGGGGCCTAATGTATTGTAGGGCCTAATGCCGTTAGGAACCTAGGGGGGATGAAGGCCAGAACACTGGACTCAACTCCCCTCTTCCCGGGTTCCGGTCGTATTTGCGGAATGGCAGGTAGTGCAGTCCCATCCCTCGGTGCGTTTCTTAGGGTGATGTTCTTAAGGAAGGTTGTCGTCGGCTGTTCGGGGCATTTCAGAGAGAGGGGGGAAGAGGTCGTGGCGGATGTGGGGTTGCGATGGTGATGTGGTTCGCGCCGGTGTGGTTTGCATGGTGTGCTGGCAGCTGGACAGCGAGCTGTGAGGGCGCAGCTTTCGCTGGGGCCGCTTTCATGCTCCTTGCGCTGCCCCGTGCCCGCCTCCCCGTATCTCCTCATGCCTGGTCGCTCCCAAACAACGGAGCGGAAACAGCCCGGCACCCAGGGCAAAACACCCCTCCCCAGGGACCCCCAGGCTGGCCCTTTGCCCCTTCGACGGCCGCTACAGCACCTCCCTCAACCAACCTGAACCAACCTCCGCACACCAACATCCCTCACCCTCCCCCCCCGCAGGCGCTGCTCCGCGCGCCTCCGGAGCCGGCGGGTGGGACCCACGTGTTGTTTGAGGCCTTCTGGCTGGAGCGGGGTCCCCTGGAGCTCCCACGAGGGGGGCGTGAGGATGACGGCTCGGGACGGCGCTTCGTGATGACACCCAGCGTACGGCAACACCTAACCAACCTGGCTCGTGCAGCACTGATCAGGTACGTGTGTGCTTGTCTGTTTGTCTGTGTGTGTGTATGTGTTTCGGTCGAAGGCCTTTGGAATGCGGTGACCCCTAATAATACCCCGGGGGGAACAACAGCTCCTTTCCCGCGAGTCAAACCCCGCCCCTGTCCGCCCTGCGTCTGTTGATGTGCCCCAGGAAACATCCCATCCTGCTCCAGGGCCCCACCAGCGCGGGCAAGACAAGCTTGGTGGCGTACCTAGCCGCCCAGACCGGTCACACCTTTGTGCGCATCAACAACCACGAGCACACGGACCTCCAGGAGTACCTGGGCTCCTACGTCAGCGATGCGGCGGGGCGGCTGGTGTTTAGGGAGGGGCCGCTGGTGCAGGCGGTGCGGCGGGGCTGGTGGGTGGTGCTGGACGAGCTCAACTTGGCTCCCACGGAGGTTCTGGAGGCGCTCAACAGGTAGGCGGGTGGGGTGGGGATGGGGGTTCCGGAGCGGGCTAGCGGGTGGGGTTAAACGGATGTAGCTTGTTAATCTGAGCCGACTTATTGAACTGGGTAGAATGACTGACGACAACGAACGTTACCGCGAATGTGTCAGGGTGCGGGAAGGGAAGGGTTCCGTTTTGTGGAACGGGGGAGATGTGTTTGAAGGTGTTGCCTGTCGGACGGGGTTCTGCAGGCCGGGGAATCTCCGCGCGGCTTGTTTTGTCTGAGACCGCCGCGGTTTGTAGAGAGTGTCCACTGACCGCGCAACTCCTGGATGCTGCTGCATGGTTGCTTTAGGGATGGTGGCACTGGTCGATCTCGCGCTTGGTTGTTACTTAATTAGGAGCATGTATGGCGCCATTCGTGATGATGTATCGATGATGTATACGCCGACGCCGACACCATCACACCCTCCACCGCAGGCTGCTTGACGACAACCGGGAGCTGCTGGTTCCGGAGCTGGGTGAGGTGGTGCGCCCGCACCCCCACTTCCTGCTCTTCGCTACCCAGAACCCACCTGGCGGCGCCTACGCCGGTCGCAAGGTCCTCAGCCGGGCCTTCCGCAGCCGCTTTCTGGAGCTGCACATTGACGATATCCCCGACTCCGAGCTTGCGGAGATCCTGGAGAAGTGCTGCGCCATCGCGCCCTCGTATGCGGCCAAGCTCGTGGCGGTCCAGCGGGAGCTGCAGCGCCGCCGCAACGCAGCCAGTGTGTTTGCGGGCAAACATGGCTTCATAACGCCGCGTGATCTATTTCGTTGGGCGGAGCGCGGCGCGGTGGGGTACGAAGCGCTTGCGGCGGACGGGGCGCTGCTGCTGGGCGAGAGGCTGCGCACGCCAGCCGAGCGGGCGGAGGTGGTGGGCGTGCTGGAAAAGGTTATGAACGTGAAGGTGGGGTTTGGGGCAGCCGAGGCCGGGCTTTATGTCGGCTGAGAATATTTTGGTTGTAAGTAACGTGGACCATGAGGCAGGGAGAGGGCTACGCGCTCTATGCTTGGTGTGCATGTGTTTTTCGTGCCTTGTCTTCCGTACCTTTTTTTACCTGTTTTTCACCGGATATCATCCGCGAGTTTCTGGATGGGGCCGCCCGACGCCGGCCTGGGGCCCACACACACCCCGCCCGCTGCATTCCGCCCTGCGCAGGTAGACCTGGAGGCCCTGTTCTCTGCGGAGGGAGATGCGCCCATTCGGGCCCTGCAGGTGGCCCTGCAGGAACAGCTGAAGCCTGGGGGGTCTGAGCTGGCTGAGGGCGCGACCGGCCCCGCAGCGGACGCGGGGGAGGCCCTGCAGGCGGCTTTGCGTGGCGTGGTGTGGACTCGAAGCATGCGGCGGATGTACACCCTGGTGGAGAGGTGCGTCGCCGCCGGGGAAAGTATTGTAATGAGCGTGGGATGTGAAAGCATGTGGGATGTGCGAGGACCCAGACGGTATGGTCGATAGCGATGGCGATGGCGAGATGCGGGTGCCAGGGTGCAAGCGGAAGCCTTCAGCCGCGATCCAACGCCATTTTACGGGAGCGGCGAAGGCCCTCGGTTGGAAAACTCGTGCAAATCTCTCAAGCTCCTGTAATGGCGGCTGACGAGGAAAGCCCTTTTCACCCGTGTTCGGGGCCTTTTGCGGTGGTTCCCCCTTGCAGGTGCTTGCGCCACAGCGAGCCGGCGTTGCTGGTGGGCGAGACCGGTACCGGCAAGACCACCGTGTGCCAGCTGCTGGCGCTCATGCGCCGCCAGCACCTCCACATCCTCAACTGTAACCAGCACACCGAGACGTCGGACTTTCTGGGCGGCTTCAGACCTACTCGCGGCAGGGAGAGAGCCGTCGGGCAGCTCCGTGCCGCAGCTGCGCGCGTGGCGGCGAGTCCACTGCTGGGGGTGCTAGGCCTCGCGGCGCCTGCCGTGCCGGAGGAGCTTGTGCCGCAGGCCATCGCACCGTTGGCAGCGGCAGTGGCGGCGGCGGCGGCGGCGGCCGCCAAGGCAGTGGCGGAGCTGGACGTGCGCGGGAGAAAGGACGCCAGGAAGGCGCTACGATCGGTGTTAAAGAAGAAGGCGGCGGCGGGCGGTGGCGATGGCGGTGGCGGCGCCGCGGATTTGGGCGAGCAGCTGAAGGTACTGCAGGCGGATGCCGCCACAGCGGCAGCGACTGCCGCGGAAGCACGCGCACCGTTTTCCTGGGTGGACGGGCCGCTGGTAACGGCGATGCGCCGGGGCGACATGATCCTTGTGGACGAGATTAACTTGGCGGAGGATGCCGTACTGGAGCGCCTGAACAGGCAAGCGCGCTTCTCCTGTTATGAACCGCCGGGGTGTCGTCGTGGTTTATACAAAACTCGTGGGTATGCTGCTTTCCTTAACCCTCACCCGTCGCTTCCCTCTCTACACCTGTCTTTCCCCTCTCTTCTTGTTTCTTAAAATGAGTTTTGCACACTAATCGCAGCCCCAACTCCTCGCCACACACGTAGTGTTTTGGAGCGCAGCCGTACTCTGACACTGGCGGAGCGCGGCGGCGAGGGCGCCGAGGTGGTGGTGGCTGCGCCGGGCTTCCGGTTGCTGGCCACCATGAACCCCGGCGGCGACTTTGGCAAGAAGGAGCTGTCGCCGGCGCTGGCCAACCGCTTCACGACCATCTGGGTTCCTGCGATGGATGATCCGGAGGAGATGCGGGCCATCTTGGAGTCCCGACTGGCCGGTGCGGTTGGGGCGGTGCGGTTGGGGTGGGGAGGAACTGCTCCTTTGTGTTGTAATCGTCACCTCCGGGGTTGCTCTCCGAGGTGTACACTGCATGCACATCCGACCAGTCCTAACACGCGGATGTGGCGGCGGCTGTCGCCTCCTGAATCGCTGCCTGCCCGCAGACTCGTTCAACCGCGCTGCAGTCGCCGAGCGGCTGCTGCGCTTCTGGCAGGAGTACCTGCGTCTGCAGCCCAGTGGCGCCCGCCAGCCGCTGAGTGTGCGCGACCTGCTGGCATGGGTGGGCTTCGTGAACGCCACGGCACCGCAGCTGGGGGCGCTACCCGCGTACGCGCATGGCGCCCATCTCACCCTGCTAGACGGTGCGTAATAAATAATAGCAATTTATAATGATATAATCCGGGGCTCCCGCGGGACTCCGCTCAACACACACCGACAGGTGGTGATATCCACGGTTGTGACCAGGAACGGAACTGCTCCCTTGCCGCAGTAGTTGGTGCTTCATTCCATGTTTTCATCGATAATTATCCGTAATAACCACCGTCGTGTTGTGGTGCGCAGGCATCGGCCTGGGCGTGGGCCTGCCCGCAGCGGCCGCCGCCAGCCTGCGCGCCAGCCTGTGCGCCTTCCTCGCCACCCAGCTGCCGCCGGAGCTGGGCCCTCACGCCGCCCTGGCGGAAGGCCACCTGCACGCGGCCGAATCAATGGCTGCGAAAGGCCTGGTGCCCGCCTCACCGCCCGACGGCCAGTGGGGCATCCCGCCGTTCTTCGTACAGCTGGCGGCATGCAACCGCGAACCCCCCGCTGTCGGCGGCTTTGCGCTGCGGGCACCAACCACGGCACGCAACGCCTTTCGCCTGCTGCGAGCCATGCAGCTGCGCAAGGCGGTCCTGCTGGAAGGCAGTCCTGGGGTTGGAAAGACCAGCTTAGTGGCGGCGATGGCCAAGGCGGTGGGGCAGACCTTGGTGCGGATAAACCTCTCGGAGCAGACCGACATGATGGACTTGCTGGGTGCTGATTTGCCGGCGCCAGGCGGTGCTCCAGGACAGTTTGCTTGGTGCGACGGGCCGCTGCTGGGCGCGCTGCGCGCCGGTCACTGGGTTCTACTGGACGAGCTTAACTTGGCGGGACAGTCGGTGCTGGAGGGGCTCAATGCGTTGTTGGACCACCGCTCGGAGGTGTTCATTCCGGAGCTGGGTGCAACGTACCGCTGCGCGCCGGGTTTTAGGCTCTTCGCCGCGCAGAACCCGCTGGGCGAGGGCGGCGGCCGTAAGGGCCTGCCGCGCTCCTTCCTCAACCGCTTCACTCGCGTGAGTGTGGAGCTGCTGCGGCGGGACGATCTGCTGTTCATTGCAGGCGCGCTGCACCCACGCGTGCCGTCGCCGTTGCTGCACCGCATGGTGGATCTGCTGGACGCCATGCAGGCGGCCGCTTCCGGCGGCGGCCCTGGTGCCGCTGCGGCGGCGGCTGGGGTACGTGACTTTGCGGCGGCCGGCGGGCCGTGGGAATTCAACCTGCGTGACTTGCTCCGCTGGTGTGATCTCGTGGAGGGCAGTGTGCCGCCGCCGCCGCCGCCTCCCCCTGCAATGGAGACAGAGCAGCAGATCGTGGACGCATCCAGGGGACCCGATGATATGGATACGCATGCGGACGTGGCGGCGCCGACGGCGGCGGATGGAGGGCCAGCAGCAGCGGCGCTAGATGCCGCCGCGGCCCACTTTGCTCAGATGCTGTTTACCCACCGACTGCGCACGAGCGATGACCGCGCCAAGCTGCTGCGGCTCTTCACGGCTGTGTGGGGCGCGTCGCCGTCGGACTGGCAGAAACAACCCCAGGTGCTGTTGTCCCCAGAGACTGTCATTGTGGGTCGGGCAGCGGTCTCGCGGGTCACGGATCCCGCGGCGCAGGGTGCCGCGGCGGCGGCGGCGGCTGCCGCCGATGCAGCGGCATCAGCCGCCGGCGCCACCGCGTCCGAACTTCAGCTGCTGCCCTGGTCGCTGCCGCTGCTGGAAAGCCTGCTACAGGCGATGTCGCGCGGCTGGATGGCACTGCTGGTGGGAGGTCCTGGGGCGGGTAAAACGGCACTGGCTCGCACGGCCGCTGCCCTCTGCGGCATGAGGCTTCTGGAGATTTCTTTGACAAGCGGCACGGACACGAGCGACCTGCTGGGCAGCTTTGAGCAGTTGGAGCCAGAGCGCAGGGTGCAGGAGGTGGGGTCGGACCCATGGGTCACACAGGGTTTAGGGTTTTTCAACGGGACGGCAGCTGTCGGAAGGCGTATGCCAGAGATACCTAGCATTAATGGTCCGCTCCTTGCGCTGTGAAGGTCCTTAGCCTTTCCACGGACTTAGGGTTGTTTTAAATAGGGTGGATCTTGCGCGCTGGAGGCAAACAGCTTTCTTGAGGGAAAGAGCAACACGAGATGTCAGGCGGGGAACGTCGGAACGCTTCATTATCTCGCGCCTATCCATGTGGGGCTCTATGCCACTGTGCGTAGCAGACTATGGTTAGCAGACTGTGGTTATGTTCCACACGTAATAGTGGCAGTCTTGCCGTTGCCGTACGCGCTCCCCTGCCGCTGCAGGCTTCGGAGCAAGTACAGCAGCTGGTGCAATGTGTGTCGCAGCAGCTGCTGACACGCGGCGAAGGAACTAACAGCAGCCGAAACGCAAACCACTCGCCACTCGAGGGTGTGCACGCCGGCCGTCTGGCGGCGGCGCAGGAGCTGCAGACCGCCTGGTACAGCCACGCTACCGCTATGGCTGCATTGGAGCGCCAGGCGGACGCGCCGTCGCCCATTGCTGCTGCAGCAGCCAAGGTGGAAGGGCTGCGTGGCGTCATGCAGGTGTGCCGCTCCGCCATGGCTATGCTGGAGGTTGCCGCGGCCGCCGCCGCCACTATTGCTACTGCCGCAGCCGCCGAGGCCGCGTTGGAAGGCCTTGCGGCGCTGCTGGCTGACGAGGCCGCTGCGGCGGTCGGCGGGCGGTTCGAATGGGTCGACGGCGCACTGACACGTGCCATCGAGCGCGGCGGCTGGGTGCTGCTGGAAGGGGCTAATCTGTGCAACCCCACCGTTTTGGACCGTCTCAACCCGCTTCTGGAGCCCAACGGCGTTTTGTATCTTAACGAGTGCGGGCACACCGCGTCTGGCCCACGGGTCATTCACCCGCATCCGGAGTTCCGACTCATCCTGGCTCTAGACCCGCGGCACGGCGAGGTGTCTCGCGCGATGCGGAACCGCGGCATCGAGACCTTCCTGCTGCCGCCTGCGGCAGTAGCGCCTGGCGCCGCCGCTACTGCCGCTCTGGTGGATGCCGGGGCAGTGGTGGACGCGGACGTGGAGGCAGTGCTGCTGTCGCAAGGCATCGTTGGGAAACGGCTGCTGCGTGCGATGGCGCGAGGACATGTGGCCATGTGCCGCATGTGTGCGCGGGCTCACAAACGGCCGCCGGGATTGCGGGAGGCCGCCACAGCGGCGGGCTTGGCGGCAACACTGCGGGAGCGCGGATGGGCCCTGGCGGCAGCGGTGCGAACCGGCTGGACGCACGTGTACCTGCGGGGCCAGGGCTTTACGGCGGTGGAGGCGGCGGAGGCGCAGGGCATCCTTGATGATGTAGTGCGACAGGGCGTCAACGCACCAGTGCTGCTGACGGTAAAAGCCGCCCTAAGCGAGATGGATTGGGAGGGCGCGACAGCGGCTGCTCCTGACGCTGAAGACAACCATGCCGACGGCTCTGGCGCTGACGATACCGTGTTGCTGACGCTTGTGGGACCGGGTGGCTTGCTGTACGGCGAGAAGGCATTACAGGCGCTGTGCGAGCAGCCGCTGGTGCCGCAGCGGTTGGAGGCGAGCATGCTGGCGGCACCGGCGGGCTGGCCTGTGGCGGCGACGGTACAGCAGCTGGCGGCCACGTCAGCCGTCGCCGCCGCGGAGCGTGACGTGTCCTTCCTGCGGTACATCTTGGGCGCGTGCGCCGCCGCGGCGGCATGCGGGTTTGGCGGCAACTCGGCAGTCGCCGGGGCGCGCCGGAAGGTTTGGGCGTCGCGGCTCCAGGCCGCGTTGCGTGACGCCAGCGGACCTGCGCGCGACGCTGCCGTACGTCTGCTTCAGTACATGCCCGCGGAGGTGGTGGGCCCCGTGCTTCACGGCGGCAGTGAGGTTGCAGCGGCTGCATCCGACGGCGATGCATTAACGCTGGCGGCGGCGCCAGCGGCACCAGTCAATGCCGTCAACGTGCACCTGCAGCAGCTGGCGTGGGCCGCAGCGCAATGCCTGGTCCAGCGAGCCAGCATGCTAGATGGGCATTACCGCACGTTGTTGTGCGACGTGGCGGCGAGCGAGCAGTCGACCCTGGCGGCGGCGCTTGCAAAACAGACGGCGGCGGCAGGAAGCGGTCTGGCTGAGGACCTGGCGGTGTTGGTTTCGGAGCTGGTCCGGGATGTGCAGTCGCACACGCTCTCTGAGCGGCTCCGTGAGCGGATGCGTGTCGCCGCAGCGGCGGCGGGTATGCCGACAGAGCTGCAGCAGCTGCAGCCACTGGACCTACGCTACGGCCAACTGCTACAGCCCTTCTTGCCTGGTGTACCCGCGGCGGCGACGGAGGCGCTGCACCGCGGCGCGGCGCGGTTGCAATGTGCGCAGGCGGCACTGGGCGCGAGGCTGCTATTGCGCCGCGTTGTGTTGGGCACGGATGCGGCGGTGGCCGCCGGCACGGCGTCGCCGCTGCAATTGTCGTACTGGCGATTTCTGCGACCGGAGGAAAGGTGAGTTTGTGGGGGTTGTTGGACGCCGCGTACCGTACTACTAGTACAGAGGGAAATACGGCCATTAGCTTCAGCATGCAGGTTGTTCGGACGTCGCAGCCCGCCCGCGGATATCTCCTCCTATCGCCGGGCGGAGCTCACGTCTGTCACGTCTTGACAGCGTCGGATGTTAACTTTGGATTCCGGTTATTCTCTTTCCTAATCCTTTAATCAACCATATTTCCTCTCCCTCTCTCTCTCTCTGTGCCATATTCTGGGCCCCCACCTACTCCGTCGCCTCGTCAGGGCCGCGAAGGACGCCGACCACCCCGCCGTGGACTGCCTCTACCCGCTGATGTCCACCTTCTGCGACCTAGAGGATCAGCTGCTACTGCCGCCGCTGCCGCAACAGCAGCAGCAGCAGGCTGTTGGGGTGTCGTACGACGGCACCTGGGACGGGGCTCTGAGAGAGCGCGTCGCAGCTGTGCAGATGTGGCGCGGCGCATTGTGGCGCATCGCCCATGGTGTACTGCACCTCCCACTGTCACTGCTGCCGCCGCCGCAGCAGCAGCAACCGCACACAGGGCTCACTTCCGAGAGTTCTGCAGCCGCGGCGGCGGCAGTTGTTGTGCCACTGTTGAGCTTAGACGTGCCGCAGCTTACGTGGACATGGATGCGGGCTGATAAGGCCCTTGTGGCGCTCCTAGCGCACCCCGACGTGGTGCTGGCGGCTGGCGGCAGCGGCGGCGGCGACGTCGCGGCGCGGCTGGAGTATGTCCGGTCGCAGATGCGAGAGGCATTGGGCCTCGCCAGTCGGCCGAGCAAACCGCTGGCGTGGCGATTTTGTGGAAAGCCCGTGCTACCCAGTACCCTGCCACTCCTTGAGGCGCTGGTGCAAGGCCGCGCGCTGTCAGCAGCGGCGGCGGCGGTGGAGTTGGATCCGCAGGGCAGGCCGGTAGGCTTGCACGGTGTGGGTGTGGATCTGGACGACGTTGTTGTAGCTGCGGCGGCGGCGGCGGCGGCAGCCGCGACCAGCGGCGGCGATGGCGGCAGCGGCGCAGCAGCGCGCACAGTTGAGGAGCTCCTCGCCGACGACACACTGGATGTACGGCAGCAGGTGGCGGAGGCGGTGGCATTGACGCTGTGCGTCGACCCAACGCTGCGACTGGCGCTGCGGCGGGGTGTGGCGATGTTGGGGGCCATGCCGTTGCTGGAAGCGCTGCGGCCTGGCAGCAAGCCGTCAGCAGCAACAGCAGCAGCAGTAGAGGCAGGGGACCCCAGGTCTCTGGCGATGCAAGGTGCCGGGGTGGTGTCGGCATTGCGGGTCTCGCTGCACGCCTGTGTACAGGAAGCAGTCGCACGGGTTCTGGCCTGCCCGTCTGAGGACGAATGGATGATGCGGCATTGTGCTCTGGAGGCGCGCTCGCAGCCCACCGCGACCGCGACTGTGGATGCTAAGGCGGCGGCGGCGGCGCTGCCGCTGCAGCTGCTGCTGCCCAGCTCGTGGATGGCATCGCGGACTTGTCGTCAGCTGCAGCTGCCGCTGCTGGCGTTGCAGGACTGTTGCAGCCTCCGGCGGCAGGTGGGGTTGCTGGCGGCGGCGGCGGCGGCGCACATCGCCACGGTGTGGCTCACCGACGTGCCGCTAGCAGCTGCGGGGCCGGCCGCGGCCGCGACGCATGCAGCCCTTGCTCTGTCGCGTCAGGCACGTGCCATCGTTGATGCCACGATCGGCAGCTCGAGCCGATCTGCGATTGACCTTGCACCTTGCCAGCAGCTCCAGTGGGTTCTGGATGAGCTTGAGCGGCACCAGATCCAACGGCAGCAGCGGGAAACTCAGGCACTAGCGTTACGCGGTCGCGACGGTTCGACGCGTGTTCTGAGCGGGAAGAGCGGTGCGGCCCGCAGCGGTGCTGTCGTTCCCCCCGTTGACGGCGGCCTCGACATCCAGCAGCTCTTCCAGGTTGTTCTTCCGGCGCTGACGCACGACATGTGGCTGACATGGCACGCAGCAAACTGGCGCAACTGCTTCAGCAACGGCCTGGGTGTGACTGGGGCTTGCAGCAACGGCTTAATGCAGGGGTTATTGCTGACGGCGCCGCTGCCTAGCGGCCCAGCGGCAGCGCTGGATGCGCCGCTGCTCAGCGCCTGTGCCCTGCGTGTGTTGGGCAGCTCTGAGTCGCAGGTTCGGAGCAAGGCTATGCGGTTGCGGCAGCTGCGAGCCGCGGTGGCGGCGCTGCTGTCTCAGAGCGCCGGCGGCGACGATGTCGCTGCCGCTGCTTCGCCACCTGGCCCACTTGGGCCGGCGGCAGGTGCGGTTCTACCGCCCGAGTGGCCGGGCCTAGCGTACCTCCTCTGCCAGCTGCTGCTTGCACATGTCAGCTCCCTGCCAAATGAGGGCATGCGGGCGGTGCTGTGCGGGCTGTGCGGCCAGCTCGTGGCCGCCGCCACCGCCGCCACGGCGCCGCCGCAAGTGGCGCCGCAATCACTTAACGCCGCGGCGTTGTCCGAACAGCTGGCTTCTGTGCTGGTGCACTCGAATCATGCCGTCCTGCGTCAGCTGCTACAGCCTGTGGTCCTTCCAGCCGTCACTACGGTGGCGGAAGGGCTACAGCTGTGCATGACGGCAGCCTGTGCCGGCAGCGTTGTCAGCAGTAGCAGCAGAAGCAGCAACAACATTACATCTACGTCGGCGCAGCGGTTGCTGTACGGCGCGGTGCAGCGGCGGACGGCGCGGGACGCCGAGCTGGCGCGGCGCGGGCGCGCGTGGGTGTTGGTGGGTCTGCTGCGGCTGCATCTGGTGGTCCCGCCGCCTGGCATCGACCCCGCGGGCAAGTACGCACTTAAGCGGCGTCACCTGGAAGGCATTGTCGTACACGAGCTGCAACCTGAGATCTTGGTGCGTCGAGGTTGGGATCGAGCGCATTATGTCGGGGTTATGCTGCTGCTGCTGCTGCTGCTCTGTGTGTGTGTGTGTTGTACTGTTGTACTGTTGTAGCTGATGCTTGGCTGATCAGTGTCTGCGTTCTGTACTTCTGTGTGCCCGAGGGAAACCGAGTTAGGATCTGGTGTGATCTGATGCGGTCCGTTAGCACATCGCACCCAACTTGTTTGTGAATCGACTGCAGGTACGCCAAGCACTCCAGGGACTGCCCGGCGGCCCCAGCGAGGCGGCGCACCTGGGCGAGCTGATGCAACGCCGGGCTCAGACCGTTGCGCAGGCCGAGGCGGCGGCGGCGCGCTGCGTGCCTCGCCCGCAGCCGAGCCAGTACGCGGCGCTGCAGCGGGAGGCGGCGAGCTTCGCAACCTCGCTGGCGGCGCCGCCAAGGGTGCTGGCGTTGATGGAGGCGCTGTCGGCGGCTGGCGGTACGGCGGTGGCGGCTGCGGCAGCTTCAGCGGTGTCCGGGGAGTTGGCGCAACACGTACAACCGGGGGCAGCGGCGGCGACGTCCTTACAGGAGGCGGAGCTATGGCTGGCAAATGCGAGGGCGTGGTGCGAGCGCTTCGGTCAGCGGTATGCTTGGTGAGAACCCCGGGATAGGCTCCTCCCTTGAGGCTCCGACACGGCGACCGTCCCCCGCTTTCTTGTGCGCGCGGGCGGGGGGGGGGGCCCGCGGGCGCTTGTACATGTTATCTACCTACAAGCTCACCACGTTCATTGCCGCCTTGTGCAGCTCGCCTCGGCTCTCTGACCCCTTCATCTTCTCCCTTGTCTGGCGCTGGCTGCAGCGCGGTTAAAGCCTCTGCCTTGAAGCCTCTTCCTTCCAGCCTTCATTCACTCGACGCCGCATTCCTGGTTGCCTCTTCTACCTTGACTGCTTTAACGCATCTCGAACCGCGCAGCGTGTCTATCTCCTCCTCCCAACGACAGGTCTCCCCGACGGCGTCGGGGTCGTCCTTATCCCTACACTACCTTCCTCTACTTCCCACTTCTTCGCATATAATTACCCCACCCACCCCCCTCGTGCCTTGCAACAGGTACCCCGACATCACGCAGCCCGTCCAGCTAGCCGTCCACGAGATGGCGCGCGGCTTTGCGCTGCTCTCCGCCGCCTCTCCAGCCCCGCCTGCTACCGCCGCCACAGCTGCTGCGGCGGCGGCGGGCTCTACGGCACTCGTACCGCAGCAGCAGCTGGGTCCCATCGCTGCCATCGCTGCGGGACTGTTGCGCTTCCCCACTGTTGCTGCTACGACCACCACCGCGGCCTCATCGCAGGCAGGGGCGTTGGTGCTGCATCCGCGTTTCCTGGCGGAGCCGCAGGCGCTGCAGTTGGTGCAGCAGGTGGCGCGTGCAGCGGCGCTGCAGCACCAACATCAGCAACAAAACCAGGATGCCGCCAAGGCGGTGCAGGCCGCCGATTTGGCTGGCTACGAGATGCAGCTCCGGGCCACGCGCGTGGCCTTGCACGTGCTGGCACGGGAGGCTATGGCGCGCGGTGGCCGCGCTGTTACCGCTGCTGACGCCGACACCGAGGAGGGTGCGGATGAGGCCTCTGTGCTGCCGTCCCTGGAGCGTCTGTTTTCGGCGCTGGTGCAGCAGTGGGCTGCACTGAAGGCATTTGAGGAGGCTGCGGCGGAAGAGGAGGCCCAGCAGTTCAAGACTAAGACATCGACCGCTACGTTTATGGATGAGGACGGGGAGTCGGAGGCGACGTACCGGCTGGCCTTCCCGGACCACTACGCGCCCTTCCGCGACGTGGTGCCGCTTGACCCTGAAGAGGAGCGACAGCAGGAGGAGGACGCGCGGCGGCGTGGCGACGACAGCGCGGCGGCGGCGGCGGCGGCTCAGGACGCCGCCGCGACTGCAGCGCAGGCGCGCAGCAGCGCGGCGCGTCAGCTGCTTGATGGTGATCTGCTCACCGACGTCGTACGGCTGCACGCTGCCGTATTTGGCACCTTGGCGGCGGAGGAACATCTGGAGGTCCGCCAGGTGGCGGCCGCGATGGTCGGGGACAGAGCCGGCATGGACGCCACGGGTCCGGGTCCGGTAATGCCACCGGGGCAGATGGTACCGCTGGCCGCTGCCTCCGCCGCCACGGAGGACGTGTTTCGCCGTAGCTACGAGCTGGGTTCGGAGCTGCTGGCGGCTGTACGGTATCACGTGGACGTTGCCGTGGATGACGTCACCGGGTCGGGTCACGTGTTCCGGCTGTGTTTGGAGCACAACGCCCTCAACCGGGCTGCCGCCGCGACGGCCGCCGATATGACCGCGGCGGCTGGCGGTGACGCGGCGCGGCGGCCGGCCAGCCGGCGCGGCGCCACTTCAAGCGGCACGTCGTCGGGTCCTTTGCGCCGCCGCGGCGGCGTCATCTTCGGCGAGGATGACGGAGGCGTGGACATCCAAAAGCCCTGCGTGGAGGAGATCAGCTTGCTCCAGGTGCGGCCTTCCGTGTTCGATGCCTTCCACGCGCATGCTGAGAGGGTAACGCGAGTAACGAGTCGCGTGGCCTGTGAAGCTTGAAAATTGTCGATGAAAGCTCATGTGTTTTTTTTGTGTTTTGTTCCCAACTCTGATACCGTGGAGCTCTGGAAGGTGTGTTTTGCGCAGCCTCACATCTCGCCTAACCTAGAGCGGCCCCCCGCTGTACCAAAAAGCTCTATATCCTAATTTGGAACGCGGGAGGAGTCCCGAGCTGTCCCGCTTTGATCTGCTCAGTTGGATTTATATCCGAATGCTGAATTCGCCTTGAACAACCAAATCAAACCCTCTGTCCCCGCAACCGCTTGCCCCGTGTCCTGGGTCCTAATTAGGAGCCTGTTTCTGCTTTGGAGAGTCGCCTGCGGGGGCTGCTTGAGGAGTACCCCGACCACCCGCTGCTGGTGCAGCTGCGCGCCATTGCACTGCGGGTGCTGTCCATGCAGCTCCAGTCCCCGCTCAAGGCCGCCCTCACCGGGCTGGAGCTGCTGCTGTCGAGAGCCCAGGTGCGCGGGGAAAGGGGGGCGGGGAAGAAGGAGAAAAGCAACGGCACGAAACGGTACGGCACAGCACGGTACGGCACAGCACGGTACGGTACGGCACGGCACGGCACGGCACGGTGGCAGTCGTGCCAGGAGCGGCATATTATGTTGTGTGGGGAGGACCGGGCTGGGTGCTGAATTGTCCTGGCTGATTCATTTTTTTATGAAGACTTTGTAACTTTGCTAACAGTTGAGTTCTTATCCCAACAGCAGTTCTCAAATGTATAAAATGCAGGCGAGCTTTCTTATCCTGGGGTTAAGACCTTTCCCAAAACATTGTTGCCCCTCGTTGTTCTGTCTGTTCTTCCTGCCCTCACTTGTGATTTCAACTGTGTGATGTGGTGTGCTGTGGTCCTCAGCTGTGGGAGGAGACCGCGGCCTCGTTCGTGTCGCTGAAGCCGCAGCTTGCCCCTCTGGCGGCGCTCGCTACTCGCTGGCGCCGCCTGGAGCTAAACAGCTGGAAGGGCCTCCTGCGCCGCGTCGCAGCGCGCCACACCGCCGGCGCGCACCGCTCCTGGTTCCACCTCCATCGCCTCCTCGCACCCGTGGCGCTGCACCCGCCTACCACCACCACTCCCGTCGGCACCGACGGCGACGCCGACGCCAGCTCATCAGCGGCAGAAGCAGCGGCGGCGGCACTCGCCGCCAGCGGCGTGCCAATCCTCATCGGCATGCCATCCGTACCGGCGATTCTGGAAGGCGCGGCGACAGATGCCGCCGCCGCGGCGCCCGCCACCGGCGGGCCCACGCCTCTGTCGGCGGAGCTGGAGACGGTGTACCGCCGCATGGCGTCCACCCTGGAGAGCTTCGTGCAGACGAGCACCCTGGGCGAGTTCCGCGAACGCCTGGCGATGCTGCACTCGTTCGCGTGTTACGTGGCTGTGCATCAGCGTCAGCGCAGCGGCGCAGGACCGCTGGCGGCTGCGCTGGTGGCCGCACTGCACAACTTGGTGCGCTACTACGGCCAGTTTGAGGGCGCGGTGGAGGCGGCGTTGGCGGAGGGCATGGCGCCGCTAGAGAAGGACCTGCAGGTGGGTGGTGGTCAATCCTCCGCCTGAGCGCTATGGGGGACGTATCATGTATAAGTCTTGACTCCGTGGGAATTCTTTCTGGGCACTCAGCAACGCGTCCTGAGCATATTCGCCGAATCACACAGGGCATGTGCGCTTTTTTCGCCAGTCTAGGCCCCACAGGACTTTGTTAATTTGTCTTCCATCTCTTACATGTAAACCCGTCTAATCCCTGGCGTATCAACTGCTTCACTCGTCTGTGGTTCGTCTTCCCCCGCAGGATTTCGTGCAGCTGGCGCGCTGGGACGACCGAGGGTATTACGCCATGCGGGCGTCCACGGAGAAGGCTCAGCGCTACCTGCATCGCCTTAGCCGCCGGGCGGAGGAGGTGCTGCGCCAGCCCGCCGCCACCGCCCTTGCGGCCGCCGCCAAGGGCATGGGTGTTGGGGAGCTGGCCGCCGCAGCGGCGGCGGCGGCGCGCGAGTGTGGCGGCGGCGCGGATGCCGCTGCGGTGGCGGAAGCCGGTAAAGTGGACGGTACGGCGCAGCAGCGGACAGTGGCCGCCAAGCCGAAGCCGAGGAAGCTCACGGCAGCGCAGGCAGAGGCGGAGGCGGAAGCCATGGACTTGGCAGGCACGGCGGCGACGGAGGGTGCTGACGGCGTAGGCAACATCAGTACTGCGGCGGCGCAGTGGGCCCGCATCAGTGCCGACCTGCAGGCTGCACTGCCTCAGGACGCCGATTCGCAGCAGGTGCTGGCCGCTGCCGCTGCCATACTCTCCGCTCCAGGTGATAGCAACGGCGCATCGACAGCGTACCTGCCTCGCCTCCCACAGCTCGTGGCCCGGCTTGCACGTGTCGTGGCCGACTCGCTGCATCCGCGCAGCGAAGCCGCCGCCACCGCCGCCGCCGCCGACGGTACCGATGACGCCGCCGACGGCGCTCCGGAATTCATGACTCCGGACGAGCTGGTGGTGACGTGCATTGTGCGCTCCAACGAGCTGCGTGCTGACGTCAGCAAGGGCGCCCGCATGCGCAAGCGCCAGGCGCTGGCGGAGCTGTTCGAGGCGTTGGAGCAGCAGGGTCTCTCCCGCCGCCAGACCGCCGTACCGCCGTACGACCGCGACGTCGCGGCGTGGTTCAAGCACCCGGAGCCTGTGGTGGAGCCGCTATGGCAGGCACAAGGTGCGCCGGCGGCGGCCGCGGCGGCAGCAGCGGCGTCATGGACGCGGGCCGATGACTATTACTACCGCTCTATGGCCCGTCTGCAGAAACTGTGGCGGGGTGCCCACCAGCCGCACAGGGACCTTTCCCTACAGGAGGTGGCGACTGCGCGGCGGATGAGTGAGCACGCGCTTTACGTTGTCCGCCGTCAACGCGACGCGCTAGGCGAGGCAGCGGCGGCAGTTGCCGCGCTGACCAAGCTGTCCGACTGGATGCGCGAGGCGGGGACGCCTCCGTCACGTCCCGCCTCCTCTCCCTCGTCCGCGATTGCGTCAATCGGCGACGGAACAGCTTCCGTTGCCATGCATGGCTGCAGCCAGGCCGAGCGACTCGCTGCCGTATACAAGCAGAAGGACCGGCTGGACAATCTGGCGCTGCTGGGCTCCGAGACTTGCCAGCTGCTTGACGCCTGCTTAGCCACGCGTGCGTTGCCCGCCGCGCAGGCGCAGCTGGCGGCGGCGATGGCGGCGGCCCGCGCCGCGACGGCGACGGTAGCGGCTTGCAAACGCCGCCTGGATGCCGCGCTGCTCAGCTGCACAATCCGTATAAACGCCCCCGCTTCCGTATCCGCCAGTGGCGGCGCTGCCGGTGGCAGCTGCCAGATGTGGATGACCCACGGGTCGGTCGAGGCAATGATGCAGAACTGCCAGGCGTTGGTCAAGGCGGAGGCTGAGCTGGCGGAGGCGGTCCAGGCGGCAGCGGCAGCAGCAGAGGCCGGCCCCGGCCTCGACGAGGTACCGGCGCTGCGTGAGCTGTACCGCACCGTTGCGTCCGCGGCCGCCGAGGCAGCCCAATGGCTGACGGCCGCCGCGCCCGACCGAAACGGTGCTGGCGCTGATGAGGCGGCCGTAGGTCCGACTCACGGGGGCAGCGGCGGCGGACTGTCTGAGGAGTTCGTGGCGGCTATGGAGGGCTTAGTGCGCGGTGTGCTCCTATGGGCACAGCCGCCCCAGCAGCAGCAGCAGCAGCAGCAGAACAGCCTGGAAGGCGCACCGGCGGCGGCAAGACCAGGGTCCCACAATCTGGTCCAGACGACGTATGATTTTGAGGCGGCCTTGAAGCTCCCCCGTGCTAGAGAGCTCGCGTGTGCTGGTATCGCGGCGCTACGGCGGCTAGGGGCGGCGACGGTGGCGGCTGCGGTGGCCCCGCAGGCGGGGTTGCTGCTACGTAGTGTGGCGCCGATGTTGCGCATGGCGGCGGAGGCGCTGCGGCTGCGCGCTCTGCAGCTGCTGGCGCTGCATCGCTCGACGGCCAAGCTGTCGTACGTATGTACGGCTGTGCTGGCGACGCTGGTGGAGGAGGGGTACTGCGTGCCGGAGGAGGGCAAGGAGGTGGAGGGTGAGTAGCGGATACAGTCAGCGGACGCGCGAGGGGGGGAGAGCTGGGTGCGCCGGCGGCGGCGGCGGCGGCAAGGCTCGGCTGCTGCTGCTGCAGCTGCTGCTGAGCGTGGGAGACGGCACCGAGGCCAAAACTCGCAGTAGCGCCACAGCCCCGCGCCCTTCCGTTCACCCTTTTCGGTTTCCCCTCATTACCCCGCTCCAAACTCTTTTGCTGTCATTAGTTGCATGGGACCACTCCTTGCGTTCTGACCTGACGCTCATTTCCTGACGCCCTGTTTTCAGAATCAAAAGGAGATCCCCTTCCCGGACATTCAGCCACCATACTTTCCGGTGATAGATCTTCACCGGCTACCGACCACGGTGGCCATGTTTACTATCCATCTGGGGACGTAGCCGTGTGTACCTGTGAACTCTAATCATCTTCACAAGAAACCTCTTTGATTTTCGATTTCGTTTTACTGTTTGTTGATGCTTCTTGATGTTGTTTGTTGGTGTTGCCGTTCCGGATGTCCCAAACTCAGGCGGCGACGGTCCCGGGGAGTTCAAGGAGGCGGAGGGGACCGGTCTGGGTGACGGCACAGGCGCCAAGGACATCTCCGACCAGCTCGATAACCAGGACCAGTTGCTGGGGGCGCAGCAGCGCGGCGCGGAGCAGAAGCAGGAGGAGCAGGAAGACAAGCAAGGCGGCGGGCCGGAGGAGGAACAGCCCAAGGGCATCGAGATGGATGACGACTTCGAGGGCTCGCTGCATGACGTCCCCACGGACCAGCGCGACATGAACCGCGACAGCGAGGACGAGGAGGGTGATGAGGAGCGGATCGACCAGCAAATGGGGGACGTGGGCGACAATGAGGAGGTGTGTGTCCTGCGGGTTGAGGGGGTTGAGGGGGAGGGAGGGAGGGAGGGAGGGAGAGAGGGAGGGAGGGAGAGGGAGGGAGGGAGAGAGGGAGGGAGAGAGAGAGGGAGGGAGGGAGAGAGGGAGGAAGAGAGGGAGAGAGGGAGGGAGAGAGGGAGGGAAGGGGGTTGGGGGGAGAGAGGTTGTTACAATTAAGACACAGTTAGCAGATGTGGTAGAGCAAGAGGCTAGTGTGCAGGATAGTGCCCTGCATGGTGGTGTCTTCGGGGACGGTCGGAATAGTGAATCCACTGCGCCGCTCGACGATGTCACCACGTCCTGCCACGTACAGGTGGTGGATGAGCGGCTGTGGAAGGATGAGGATGAGCAAGACGGAAAGCCGGATGAGCAAAAGAAGAAGAAGGAGGAGAAGTATGAGAAGGACGCACCGATTCAGGTACGCAGAGCACACAAGAGCAGCATGTCTGTGTGTATTTGTGCGTGTGTGTGCCGTAGGATGCCGCTACCCTGCCCAGGCTGCTGCAATCGTCCTTTTAACGGATCTTGCCCTTGGGGATGGTTATGCCATACACCACCACCGGGTGCAACTCCGTTTCTACGGTTTCATGGGCTTCGCTACACCACGAGCTGGAACGTACATCTTCCAATTTTCCTTGTTTGTGCGTTCGTAAGTTCGCACAGTCTTTTGCCTCTAGGCCAAAGAACGCCAAAGCGCAGCCCGAGCATGCCATGCATTGCTTGTGTTTGGCGCGCCAACCATTTTCCCCCACTCCCCAGGTTGAGGACAAGACCGACCTGGAGTACGCTGCAGGTCAGCAGGAGGAGGAGGAGGAGCAGAAGGACGGATCCGCCAAGGAGCCGCCCAAGAAAGAGCAGCAGAAGAAGAAGGGCCCGGTACGCTTTGTTTGCGTTGCAGCGTTGCGTTGCGGTCCGGACGGGTCCGGAAAGGCCGGCACGGGGTTTTACCCTTGGCGGCCTTGCAGCCGCCGTGTGCCCTGGCGCCCTGGAATTGCACCACAAAAGATAATAATATAAAAACTTACGAATGCTCCATTCGTCTAGTTTGGCACTGCCAATGCACTGCCAATACCTGAGCCCCTTCCGCTAACAGAGGTTCTACTATGTCAAATGGAGATATGGTGATGCTGTAGGCTTCAACGTGTGCACGTTGCCGCGTCGTAATTGTGGCTGCAGGACGACGAGGACGCGGCGCAACCAGAGGCGTGCGGGGAGGAGGGTGAGGAGGAGGGCCCGGTCAACGAAGATACGGATGACAAGTACGAGGACCGGCACCACACTGCCCCGCAAGCGGCGGAGGAGGAGCTGGAGCTGCCTGAGGAAATGAACCTGGACGGTGACGCGGAAGCGGACAATGAGGACACTCAGCAGCCGCAGCAGCAGCAGCAGGAGGGTGAAGTCCCTGAGAAGGAGGAAGAGGGCGGGAAGCAGGGCAAGGAAGAAGATGCGGAGATGGTGACCGGGGAAGACGGCAAGGAGAACGACCAGGAGCAGCAGCAGGACCAACAGGACGGCAAACGCGAGGAGGACGAGGACGAGGCGGGTGGCAAGGTGCGGTAACGCGCGAACGCAACGTGTAACGCTCCCTCGGCCCCTCTCCTCTTGCTTTCTTCACCTTTCTTCGAAACTTCGACGAAACTTCGACGAAACTTCGAAACTTCGACGAAAACTCGGAAGTATCTGGAGCCGCCGACGCACATTGTACGGCGAATGTACTGCACTTGGATGGCTCTGGGCGTGTCTGTCCTGTGGAGTCGTCCCGCCGTGCTTGGGTGTCATCTGGGTCCGGTCTTCTTCTTCTTCTTCTTCTTCTTCTTGTCTCCTAGCTCCACACCTACCCAGCTGGCTCTACCTCACCCGCGGACAGAGGGAGGCGCTGGGGTGTTGGGTTTTTTCCCCGAGAGCTCTTTCCAGCCCCTCAGTATATTTGCCTCCAGGGGAGTCCCCTCGTCCCACGTCCGCTTATCCGCTCCCGTGTTGCAGGACGGCGGCGAAGGCGAGGTTGACGGCCAGGGCGACGACGACGACATGGATGTGGAGGACCAGCCGGGAGGTGCAGGTGCGGAGTCCTGCCTTCTCAAGGCGAGGGGGGGAAATTCGCTTTCGCCGCTCTTGGAACATTGGATTGGCAAGTCTTTGTTCTCTTCCAGGCAAAATCCCTTCCATGTTTCCGTGGGTTTGCTTGTGCGCCTGCCTGCTACTGCCCGCGGACTGTAGTATGAGGAGACCCTGGCTCCGGAACCCTGCGACGTTGTTGCAGGTGGCATCGGAGAGGCCGGCGACCAGCAGCCCGAGCCCGAGCAACCACCGGAGGCTATGGCAGTCGATGACCAGCAACAGCAGCAGGGGGATGAGGACCAGCAGCAGCAGGATCCCCAGGCGGAGCAGCAGCAGCAGCAGCAGCAGGCGGGCCCGCGGGGTATCGCATCCGGAGCTCCCACCCAGCAACCGGAGAGTGCCGGTGCAGCGCACGGCGCGCCGGAGGAGCAGCAGCCCGTTCGGCCAGCGGATGGCGACGCGGAGGGATGCCAGCCGCAACCGGCCGCGGACTCATTGCAGCAGCAACAGCAGCAGGACTTATCCCGAGCGCCGGACACGGCTCCTGACGCCCGGCAGGCCGACGCCGGCTTGGCGTCCGTAGCGCAGCGCGGCGCGCCGGCGCCCATTACGGGTGGCGACAGAGAGCGGGGGGCCCAGCAGCAGCAGCAGCAGCAGCAGCAGCAGCGGGGCCGGCGGCAGCAACAAGAGCCTAATCCGCTCCGGAACCTAGGGGATGCGTTGGAGCGCTGGCGGGCGAACCTGGCTGTGCAGCACGAGGCGAAGCAAGGTGGGGTGGGGAATGCGGGTGTGTTGGGCTCTCTGGTAGGAAGTACGAAGCTGCTTTGCCGGGACGGCAGTTGTGTGTTCGTGACGTGGTTTGGTTGCGATGAGCCTGTGAAGGTGGGCGGTCTGGGGAGAGGTTGTCGGGGGTTTTCTGCTAGGAAGGAGCCCTTGCTACGACCGGCTGTGGCACACATGGGCCCCAAAGAGCGGAACAGGATGGAGGAGCGTCGTGTGTAATCTTGGCGTCTCTAGCGGCACTGGAGGGGGGCGCGGCCGGCCCATGTCTGTACGTCGAGCATATCTGTGTTTGTATGATGTTGTTATAGGGTGATATAGCTTCACCAGCGGCCCCCTTTCCCGAGGCAGTTCCCTGCTCTCCCCTGCGAGAGGGGCACCCTATTCCATTCACCCCATCCGACTTCAGAATGTATTGGTTGAGTTCAGCAACTCACCACCAGCATCCAAACAAATCTAGCGGATCAACGGCGCCACAACTTAGTTCCTGGTCAGCGCGCAAATTGCTATAATCACGTCCTACACCGTCCACAAGATGGGGGACCACCTCCCAATTCAACACCCCTCACACACCGAGGGGTCGGCAGGCGGATTTGAACCCGGAACCTCCGGGAGCAGAAGTCAGGCCTTAATTTCTGCCAGCCACCTGCCTGTGACTGTATGTATGTATGCGTGTGTGTCGGCCGGGGGAATTTGGGGATAAGCAGTCGAATTTTTCTCGCCCCTGTATTCCGTCTCCCCCGCCTGGGCGCGTCTCTCGATGAGGGGGATAGGACAGGGCGAGAGTCCCACCCCTCTTGCCCCTCGCCGCTCTCCTCATCGCGCCGCGAACTTATTTTCGCCCACGTGTGCCTGCCAGCAGAGGACCGGGAGGCTGCTGGGGCCGCCCAGGACCAGGATCAAGGACCAGAGGACGGCGCCGCCGGGCAAGAGGAGGCGCCGCCGCCGCCTGCAGGTGCAGAGTTTCAGTTCCTGGGCGCCGAGGAACGCTCCAGGGCGGGCGACACGCAGGCGCTGGCGCCCGCCACGGACGAGCAGGCTGCACAGCAGGCGGAGGAGCTTGACAACGAGGGCCTCATGCAGCAGCGCCGGGACGAGCAGCAAGACGATCAGGTGCGCGTGTGTGTGTGTGTGTGCCAGATGGCAGGCTGGGTGTCTCTGCCAGATGGCAGGCTGGCAGGTACACTTGTTCCGTACGACACTTGAGTGATGTGCTGGTGCGCGTCTGCTACCGAGGGGGCCTGTTGTGTTGGCGTTTCGTTGGAACTATTAGGGTTTCCGTATCTACTGGTGTTTTTGTTGGGTAGTCAGCTGCGGTAGGAGAGGTGGACGGCTCCCGAGTTGCTCCTTCGTGGTGTGCAGTAGTGCACGGCCTTGCGTGGGGCGCAGGGGAGGGGGATGCTGTGGACTTCTTTCCTATGGCACAAGGCCCCCAGTCCAACGCAATGACACAGCTCCCTTGCCGCCTTCCATGGCGCTCCAACACCCTCAGCAGTCCCCGCTGCCTGCACATCTGCCCAGCCTCTCCATGCACCCTCCACCCGCTCCCTGGCTTGCTACGTGACTTTCCCTACATCTAATTTGTGTTGCATTTCCATTCCCCCCACCTTCCCACCCACTGGTTTCGCTTCGCCTGTCTTTGACTTGGGCCCACTCCTGGACAAGGGCGGTGAGGACGGCGCTGTTGCCATGGAGGAGGATGACCCGCAGGGCCCCGGTGGGGAGGAGGATGGCGCCGAGACGCAACAGCAGCAGCAGCGCTCCGCGGTGGTGAACGGGCCGCTGCCTCGCACATGGGCGGGGCGGCAGCGGCAGGGCAAGCTGGAAGCGGAGGACGCGGAGGACGGCGAGGGTGACGGCGAGCGGGAGGAGCGGCCCAGCGTGGATGAGCTGCTGCGGCGGGTGAGCGGAACGGTTGATGAAGGCGTGTTGTGCTGATCCGAGCTGAATCCGTGTTGGGAAACCTAATTTTCAAGGAAAGAGGAAGCTTCAAGGAAGAAGGAGAATGAGTTGTAAGTGATGGGACTGATCTCATCACGACAGAAGCAGCTTGGTGGTCAAGCATGCGAATATTTATCACAGTATGCGTCTCATCTCCCAACTGAAGAGTGGTTCCCGCTCCTTCTTGTTCTCTTTCCTTTGCGGCCGCGAGTGAGCAGGACGGCGAGGGCGGTGACGCCGACGGTGACGCCGACGACGACCTGGAGCCGAGCCGGGTGGTGGCGCGCCTAGCCAACACGACACTGAGGGACGATGGCGACGCCGCCGCTGCGGCGGCGGCAGATCTCTCCGCGGCGGCGGCGCCGCGAGGCCTTACGGCAAAGCAAGTAGAGGCCCTCCGGCAGCAGCTGGATGAGCGCCTCCGCGGCGCCGCTGGCGCGGCGGCGGAGGCGGACCTTGCTTATGGCAGCGAAATCTGGTCACGGTGCGAGGCGCTGGTTACAGGGCTGGCTGGCGATCTGACGGAGCAGCTGCGGCTCATCCTGGAGCCCACTTTGGCGAGCAAGCTTGCTGGAGATTATCGAACAGGTGTGCGGGGGACGAGGGGGAAAAGAGGAGGGAAGGTCGGGGGAGAAAACGGGAGAACAGGGAAAACCCGGTGAAGGGGGTGCGTGTAATGTGCGCGGTATCGCACCGCCATTACGGTGTCGTTACGGTGCATGCGCATGTGTCCTGTTTGTTGGGGATTTGCCTGTTTCATCTGGGTCGGGACGGGGTTTTGCTTTGGGGCTTTACGTCTTGAATGCGGTGCCATGGGTTGCGCCAAAGTACTGTCTCATCACAATTGGCACAATGTGTCAGCCCTGTCCCTGCCACACGCTTGCCGCCCCCCACGCACCCAGCCAGGCCGGCGCCTACTGAGCTCGCCCAGCTCTCTGCCTGGTGGCGGGCAGAGGGTGGTGTTTGGGAATTGGGACTACTCATGTTTCCTCGTACCGCTCCCCGATCCCTTGCTGTCGCCCTCCGGCTGCTGCTACTGCTGCTGTTGCAGGCAAGCGTATCAACATGAAGAAGGTGATTGGCTACATCGCCAGTCACTTCCGTCGTGACAAGATCTGGCTACGTCGCAACCGGCCCGACAAGCGGCGCTACCAGGTACTGCTGGCGTGTGATGACTCCCGGTCCATGGCCGAGAATGGATGCGGTGGCTTTGCGCTGGAGGCCTTGGCGCTCATTTGCAAGGCCATGAGCAGGTTGGGGTGGGGGTGGTGGGGTGGGGGTGGTGGGGTGGGGGTGGTGGGGTGGGGGTGGGAAGTGGGGGGTTACGTGGTGTAGCGCGGGGTGGTCAAGGGGGGCTGGCTGGCCGGTAGCAGGTCGGCGGGCGGAAGCGTGTGCCCTGGGTGCTTCTCGATGGAGACTGACTGACGAGCACGGTGTGACGTTCTTTTAAAAGACGGGAGGATTACCTGACGGATGTGTGCCCCAGCGGCGGGTAGGGGTTGTATCCAGCATTGCCCCGATATGCAATAATTATGGCTTGAACAACATTGAACCTTGAATGTCTTGCCAATAATCCGTCTCCATAAATCGTTTCTCGCTACGCTGTTGTGTCTTCTACACATTCGGCAGCCCCATTCCACAACCAACCGCTGCGGATGGTAGCACCATATCCGTGGTCCTTTCTCCTCGTTCTTTTCTTTCTTTTCATCGGGCCTCCTCCTCCCTGTGACCGGTGCAGGCTGGAGGTGGGCCAGGTGGGCGTGCTCAAGTTCGGTGGCGGCGAGGGTGTGGTTCCCCTGCACCTCCTGGATGCGCCCTTCAACGACAGCGTGGGCCCCTCCCTGGCGGCTCGTCTCACCTTCCGGCAGGATAATACCATTGCGGACCGGCCCATGCTGCAGCTGATGGCCTCCCTGGACCACATGCTGGCGGCGGCAAGGCACAGCTGCGGCGCGGGGGGCATTGGGGCAGGTGGGTGCGCGTGTGCGTGTGCCTGTGAGTGTCTTGGTGTGTGGGGAGAAAGGGGGGGGTATATGCTGTGAAGGAATGGAAAGCGCTGCACACTGTGGACCGGGTGGTGGAGCGGAGGAGGAGGTGGAGGAGGCGGAGGAGGGCGGTATTGGCGCGGAAGGAAACGGAGGGAGGCTGGGGAGGTGGGGACCTAGGGTGAGGGAGGTGGGGACCTAGGGTGAGGGGTCTGGCAGGGGCACGATTAGGGTGCTGTAGGGTAGGTGTGAAGTAGCGGTTGTTGCATCCAGGCTTAGCGGCGGGTGGGTAAGCGACCGGTGGGAGGGGCTCGGCTGGTGGCTATCTAGGGCGAGATCCCCCATACATCACAAAGTATGGATGTGTGTGGCTTTTATTTACACCCCTGGCCCCCCCGCCACCTGCGTAGTGCCACCTCGCCGCTCCCTGCCGCCCGCCCTTGGCTGAACCTTATTTCCTTCTGTCCATCCCCCTTTCCCCCCTCCCCAAATTGGAGCAAAGGCACTCAAGACTTGGCGCAGCTGGTGCTGATTCTGGCGGACGGTCGCTTCCACGAGAAAGAGTCGCTGCACGCGGCCGTGCGGGAGGCCGCCGCCAAGCGGGGCGTGTGCCTGGCTTTCATCGTGTTGGACAACCCCACTAATAGCCTGCTGGACATGCAGAGCGTCAGCTTCACGGCCGGCAAGCCTGTCTTTACCAAGTACCTGGATAGCTTTCCGTTTCCTTACTACATCGTACTGCGGGACATTGCATCGCTGCCAGCAACACTGGCGGATCTGCTGCGGCAGTGGTTTGAGCTCAGTACGATCTAAAGTATTAGTTGGCAGGCTGAATGTGAAGGGCGCGCTGTGAAGTTGAGGGCCATGGGGGTGGAGGGGGGCAGGTACTCTTGGAGAGATGCAGCTGTCGGCGTGGAGTGATTGGCCGGCTAGAATGGGGATTTGTGGGACCAGGTTTTGTATGTACCGTACTTTGTTGGGTAAAGGCGGCGATATTATTTGCTTTTTTAGATAATTTTATGGGATAATTTTATGGGGTTGGGAAAAGGCCCCAGTGCTGGTGCTGGTGAGTTTATAAACTGAGCCATTGATGTGAAGGGTACCGATGGGAGAAGGGTGTTTTGCAAGGAACGTTATAGCCGTCAAAAGTACTTCGCGATCTGGCATGCACTTGTCCCGAAAGTCTGTGCAGCAGTTTGTTGCGCTTCTGTAAGGCTGTTCGGGTAGGCTGTCCATGTCGAGTTGAAAAGATGCCGTGGCGTGTTCGGGGTTTTTGCACGGGCATTGAGTAGGAGGGGGCGTGAGAGATGCCACTGGTGGATTGAGGTTTAAGTTTCATGCGACAGAATACTGAGCGACAGCCGGTCTATTGCGAAGCTGCATCGCGTTAACGTTTTACCCCATGAGCAAATGATAGGAGGTATTATTGCTGTGGTGAGCACTGCCCTTCGGTGGGAGCACTTCTGGAAATGTTTTCTCTTTTCTGTCAGGCTCCGTTGCGCACATGGCTGAAGCGCATCCTTTCTTTCGTAGCTAACGGGATCACACAATTGGGCCATGGCCTTCTACTCTACCCCTGCCTTATACAGGCTGAGCCTTGCCAGGGACGAAACGGGAAGGTTGACCGGTCTGTAGCTTTACAAAATCGCTGGCGGACGTTTTCGGAAGCCACAATGTAAGGTGACATAAAATGAAAGGCAATACTGCCAGTACCGAAAGATTGTTACTCGTCCTCACCGCAAATCCGCACTCTTTTGGTACCCATTTACGTGCGGAGTGCTGATTTGCTGCTGAAAATGATGGAATCTCCACAACCTGGTACTGATTTTTATGCTTAACAGGATATGGGCATAACTGTGACTGTTGCTAACTACTTCCAAGACGAGGCAACCTTAACATGAAAACGCTTGTCAGGCTGTATCGTTAATTATGAAAAGGCATTGATGCATCCAATTGGGACATCGATGATTGAGTGTGGGATTTTAGTTTTCATGCAACCATGCAGTACGGACGCTGCAGAAGTATTGCACCTTGCAGGCCTACACGGTTTCTGTCCTGCGATATATTTCTCACGTTAAAATCGTTTTCACTTAGTGGAGGTTCTTTGTAAAATTGAGGGCTAATAGACCACCCCTTACTGATAGGTGTTGAGGACCAGCGTGATACACCATGGCAACAAGTGAACAAGATAAAGCAAGCTCTCGGGAATTCTGGCTACAGGCGGGCATAACCTACAGGCATGGTCGGCTCTGTGGCAACTGGGTGATCGGTGCTGATGCTGACGGGTGGAAACTTGACTGCCTGCAGTTACATAATCCTATGGATCTTTCTCTCAGCTCTGGTGATCATGGTTAACAAATACGTGCTGACGTATGCGGACTTCCCCTTTCCAATAGCTCTTACGCTTACTCACATGGCTTTCTGCTCAGCGCTGGCATTTCTCATCATTAAAGCGGGTTTTGTCGACACCGTGCATATGGACTCAACGACTTACCTGAAGTAAGGACAGAGACGTCGTCCCCTATGTGCACAACCGTATGCTAAACCACTTTGGCTTACACCATCGTCCGTTGCAGGAACGTCATCCCCATCGCAGCCCTCTTCTCCGGAACCCTTTGGCTTGGAAATGCTGCGTACTTGTACCTTTCAGTCGCGTTTATTCAAATGCTTAAGGTACCAGTCATCGCACCTGAGCTCCTCGACTTTCCTGCCATACATGATGTGTTTTTACCCCAAACCTTCGCTTTATCCCCAACATTTTGGCAGGCGACCATGCCAGTGACAGTCTTCCTGGTCGGCGTTCTATTAGGCACAGAGAAGTATTCGGTTCTGTATGCTCTCAACATGGTCGTCGTGGCAGTGGGGGTGGCAACGGCATCGTACGGTAAGCGCCGACCTGATTGGGCAAACATAGAGCGAAGGTTTGGCTCTGATTTAGGCGAACCCTGCATCTGCTTAAGAGGTTTGTGTGTGGACCTCGTGTTCTTCTCTTATCATGCTGAACCCTTGGGCGCACGCTCCTAGCAACTGTGGCCCCACCCTCTGGTCTCTGCGTCGTTGCAGGCGAGTTGAATTTTGATCTGATTGGTGTGATCTTCCAATCGGGCTCCATTATAACCGAGTCATTCCGGCTCTGCTTAATTCAGCTGCTGCTGCAGGTATAGTACTTCTGGAGGGCATGGGCCAGTGCACAGCCATGGAAATCACGTTCTCAACGGCCTTCCGTCACTGCTAGGGTTGGGCCTAAATAATAACGTCTGGTTGCTCATGCACGCGTGGATTAGTTTTGGGCGTTAGGTCTTCACTAAGGCATTTGTATTTCCGCTTGGCTGCAGGCTCGTGGCATTAAGCTCAACCCTGTAACCACGCTCTACTACATCGCGCCGGCGTGCTTCGTCTTCTTGTGTTTCCCATTCACGTTCATTGAGTTGCCCAAAATGCTGCACTCAGACGGCTGGCGCCTCCCTGGCGGCTGGTTGCTGCTGAGCGCTGTGAGCGCCTTTGGTGAGTGCTTTACGTGCGAAAGACCTGTGTTTCCACGTTTCAGGAAATGAGGAGTGCGAAACCTTGCCCCAAGAGGTCCGGCTAGGTGGCTGCGTCTGTGGTGACTGTCAGGTTATTAGGTTATCTGACCGCCGTTTTCGTGATTGGCGCTAACCTTCGCACGCGGTTGCCGTTGTATTTTTCTCGATGCCTGCGCAGCTCTTAACATGTCCGTCTTCTTGCTGATTGGAAGGAGCTCAGCACTTACCATGAACATTGCTGGTGTCATAAAGGATTGGCTACTCATTGCGCTTTCGGTGATGCTGTACAAGTACGTATGAGAAGCTTTGGGATGCAACACGTTCCGGGCATGTATAGACTCTCCTCATTGGACGCGCCTGGGGAAATGGCACGACTAGATGGCTAGATGGCCACAAAGCCATGGCGCGCAGGAAAAAGGCGAAGAAATGATGGTGATTGGGGGCCTGTCGCCGCGGGGCGTAGCGTTCGGGTCACTGCGTGTCTGCCAATGGTCAATTTAGGTGTAGTGTAAGTTGACCATGCTGTGCCAATCGCGTGGTATCGGTCGCCAGGTCGCCGGTTGGAGCCCTTCAGCTGTGCGGGTACGGTGTGGCTTTCTTGGGAGTCTGTTGGTACAACTACCAGAAGCTTCAGGTACGTCGGCTGGTCGAAGGGTAGTCCGCCTTGCATATGGCATTTTTCGCAAGCCGACTGTGCAATGTTCATTTAACTCGGGTCATTTTTCTGCGCAGGGTGCAAGGCAGCAAACAGCACCGCGAGCATCCAACGACGTGGAATCCAAGCCACTTTTGTCGGGCCCATCTCCGCGCCGTTAACACAAATGAACTGGCTTGCAGCCGGAGACGGGTTGGGTGCAGGATTGTTGCGAGGCTAAGGCGCGATGCAGTGCCAGTTCAGTGTGCTGGAGCTGCTGGGGAGTGCTCTGCATGCAGGGTTTAGCTACTGTTGGAGTGGGTTTGGCATTTTGATTCGAATTCATCGGGTTGCCTGTCTGAGCTGCGGCATCGCGCACAGAGCGTTGGGCACCCTTGACTAAAACTAAATTATGACGGAGCTGGCGGCTTACTTTAACGTGCATTAACTAGCGGGTGGAGGAGATGAAAGATATTGTGTTTTGTGATCAGTTGAAGGGCTTATGGCCATGGCGCGGCTTTCTACACAGCCTAGGGGCGTTGTGGGTTTCAATGAGCACAGGATGCGATCCAGGATCAATCAGGCTCACCAGGGGGTTCACAATGTCCCCGAGCGGGACTTCTGACCGCGCCGTAATGTGGTGTCATCGCCCGAGTTAATCATGGCGATTGGCAGTGGTGGGTATGGGTTATGGGGAGGTACGTGTTGGGAGTGAAATTCGTGCACAACTGCCGGTCCGGAGTACAAAGTGGATAGACTTTCTACTGGCTGTGCGCATAGGGCATGATCATACTGTTGACTGACACATCCGAGGAGAGTTGTTACTGAGTTTTTTGTTAATGTCTTCAACTGACCCTGGTCCTTGCAGCATAGGAGGACTGGGACTCGTTGCAAATGTGCCGCAGCTGGCAGCTATAGCATAGCATCGAGTGTGGAAGTCGTTTGTCTTGTTGCGTAGCGCCAGATAATGCGACAATTAGGAAGTTGTAGCATTTCAGCTAATGCATCAGCGTTTACTGCGATACTGCCTTTACTGACACACTGCCCGAGCAAGATTCTAAGAATATATATGTATATATACATATATATACATCACATACCTCCACGGCAGCATTGTTACACAATCCGCACGAGCTGCGTGCCCGAGAGCAAAACCGACCCTTTACAAAACTGTGCTGACCCGTGGTTCACTTCTGTATACTCAACGGTATTCGATTTATCGAGTACCAGCTGAGTGAGTGCATGGCAATCCGTTACCGTGATAACAAGTACCAAACTACGCAAACTTGCAACCGGTAATTGCGCCGTACCTAGTGCTTATTGGCACACCCGTCCTCGCATCCGCCATACTTGACATGAAGTATGAAGATTCCTACAGCTTCCCATCTCAATCTGTCCTTTACAACAACATCTCGGCTTACATATTGCACTGATCTATCTTGTAACCATGCGCAGACTAAATTGTACACTGGATAATTTTCATATTCATAAAAATGTGTGACACTGAAGGAAGGATTAGCCGGCAATAATAATGAGGATTGCAGGACTATCGGTTAACGGAGCTTGACCGCGGTTGACTTGTCTGCACAGGATTTATTGATGGAAAGGTTTTCTAACAAGATATAGACCGTAATCGGCGTTTCTGTCATATAAGGAGTTAGGAATTCTGTTGTCTCACTTGGATGACTTCGTCCGCGGTTCGCGTGGTGTTACGTGCACGCCCGTCGGATGGGGCAACAGGAATTACGTTTCTCCAAGACAAGAAGGTTGGTGCGGTTCTTCAAATTGCTGGGGAAAATACGCTTAGTCCGTCCCAAGGGCCGCGGCCGAGCTGTATCTCTTGGATGGCGTTCATGTGCGCGGCAGGGTATCTCCATTGTGCAACAAAAGGTCATAGAAGGTCGTCCCGGCGGATTACAGCCAGCATCGCAAAGTTACCAGGTACGCAAGGCCGGGTTGCAACAGATGGGTTAGGTTTTAGGCTGGGTTGCCACAGGTGGCACGCGAGCGTGGATTCTGTTGCCCAGTCAGGATATGAGCCAGGGGATAGGTCTTGGGGAACCTACATCTTCAGGTCTCCCCCTCTCTCTCTCTCTCTCTCTCTGCGCACGGGGTGTCAGTAAGCTCCTTATAGGGATGTTCTTCTGCTGAGCCTGCGTCGGTCACCACGTGTTTCATCATCAACCAGGACAAATTGTGCTGTACAGCGCTGCTAACAGATGCATAATGTAAACGAGAACACGCTGTCCTTTGCTCGCAGTTCAAGTTCGACAATGTTCTGGCGTCCGCATCGCAAGAGGAGGTTTACGAGGTGCGGAAGAACCTAGGTGCTCTGATTGCCGGGTCCCATGTCCTCGTGGGGCGGTTATTACTTCCTAAGCCGTAGCTCTTGAGCTAAGATGCGGCTGGTGCCCTGCTCTTGGCGTACGACGTCGCTGTCAGCGCTTGCTGATGTAGACATGTTTTCCACGATTGCATACTGCCGGCCCCGTAGGCGGCCGCCTCGGAGGTGGTACGCAGCGCACTGGAGGGCTACAATGGCACCATCATGTGCTACGGTCAAACAGGTGGGTACTTCCCTCCGCACTCCCCCTAGCTAGCGCTGGAGTGCCGGGGCATTCGGATGCCTCCGTCGTGCCGCGACACTCGAGTACGGAGCTCCGGCCTAGGCCCCAGGCAAAGCCTGAAGGGAAAACAGGAACAGTAATGCAGCGGCGGCGAAGCCGCAGAGCTGTGCTCTTCGCCGGCGCGCTGCGACCTCCTTCCCATGCAACAATGAGAGCCCGACCCGTGGAGCACACCGTCCATACACCCATGCCGATAACAGCAGCTACGTCGCCCCAGTATCGGCCCCCCATGCTGGGCTGGGCGCCGCCAGCACAATGCCGGATCCACTGGTGCTCCCATGGCTGACGCGAACTGGCTTTAACCTCGCGTCACCCACCACTTCACGTCACCCACCACTTCACGTCACCCACCACCTCGCGTCACCCACCACTTCACGTCACCCACCACTTCACGTCACCCACCACCTCGCGTCACCCACCACTTCACGTCACCCAACACCTCGCGTCACCCACCACTTCACGTACTCCGCCGATTTCCGCGTGCGCATGTGTCCGCAGGTGCGGGCAAGACCTTCACCATGAGCGGCGGCAAGCAGAGCTACAAGCAGCGTGGCATCATCCCGCGTGCGCTGGGGCATGTGTTCTCCGAGGTCAAGTCCATGCCAGACAGGGAGGCCAAGATCAGCATCCAGTACCTGGAGGTATCTGCTGGTTGCATGTGGGAAAATGAATGGGCAAGAAGCTACGGATCTGTGATGGGGACTGGATGGGGAGATGGAGTCTTGAGTCTTGAGACAAGGGTTGGGGGGGTACGCGGGATGGCACTGGAGTGGGGCTCTCCGGGTGTGATGGGTGCGTGCCGAGCGGGGTGAGCGACGCTGCACAGAGACAAGCAACAGAGCGTGACGGCTTGGCTTCCACAGCGCACAGCATGAGGCAGCGGCTCGATGTATTTTTGCGTGGCTGTGTGTTTCTTGTCCCGCGGCAGAAAAAAAGGTTGGGGCGCGCACAACAGGATTCGTCTTGCAGCGCCACCGTTAATAACTCCCGCTTAAGGGCTTCACCTGTGTTCCCGGGTTGAGCGTACGGTAGTCCATGTGGAGCTGTACGGCATCGGCTACCTGCCCAGACCGCGCCCGTCGATCTCCCCTGGTCCCTTCCACCCTGCACAATCTAAATCTATTCCCCGCGGGCAGATCTACAACGAGGCGCTGTACGATTTGTTGGACATTACGACACAACCTCATGAGATCAGCATCTACGAGAGCAGCCGGGGGGTGGTGACGGTGTCCGGGTTGCGAACGGCTGTGGTCACTTCGGAAGCGGAGGCACTCGCGCTGCTGTTTGAGGTGCGTAAGAACTGTGTGTGGGGGGGAGAAGGAGGAGGGGCGACATGCAGGTGGGGGTATCATCTGCCGTGGTGGCCCCCTTCCTTCCTGCGGTGGTGTCCTTCCAGCGGCGCTTTAGACATAGAGATCATGGTGCTGGAAGTCAAAGACGGACAGAAGAGAGAAAGAGAGGGAGGGAGGAAGAGAAGGCACGGGTCGCAGCGTCGCGTTGCGAGAGCAACGCAACCCGGGGACGCTGCGGGTGTGTGCCCCGAGGCCGATGGGTTTGTCCCGTCGTCGTCGTCGTCGTCGTTGTCGTTGTCGGAGATTGTCCCCCTCTTGTTTGGGAGGACCTGCCGTACCGTGTGCGGGGTAACTCCGTCTGGTAGTGCACCGCAGCAGAGGATCCGACCGGCTGCCCCGGCCGCTTCTCTCGCTCTCCCACCTTCCACAGGGCGAAACCAACAGGGTGATTGGGGAGCACCAGCTCAACCGGGAGTCCTCGCGTTCACACTCCATCTTCACCATCATGATTGAGCTGAGGCCGCTGGGGGAGGTGGGTCCAGCCACAGGGGGGCAACGGGTCCGGGTTCGAGTCCGTTCGGTTACAAGTGCCCCGTAAAGAGGATAGCGGAAGGATGCACGCATGCCGGCTAAAAGTCGAGCGAGGGTACACTGTTTTGCTTGTCCACGGTGTTGCTACCGTTGTTGCTAATGTAGTTGTAGAATAGGTAGAGCTGTTGGTGGGGCTGGGCACGCAGCTGGGTAGATGGCGTCGCCGGTGGGTGCCATAAACGCCGTGCATTGCCGATATGCCCTTCGGCTCCTTTACCAGCTTACCCGCCCTCCCTGATCCCTGAGGGCACTGCTAATACCCGTCGGCCCCTGGACGCGAAAACGAATGCCCTGCTGGCACGGTCCAAAACCCGCCCTTACCCTGACTCCACCGGAGCCCCCCGAGACACATCCTCGTGTGCCGCAACGCACAGCTGCCGGTCCGGCGCTATGGCCAGCGGGTTTACCCCAGTCCTTTATCCCGACCCCCTCCCAACACCACCTAATTCCCCGCCTGATCCCTTCCACCTCCCTTCCTTCACCCCTGCTCCTCGCCACTCACCCGCACAGGCTGGCGGTGATGTGCTGCTCTCCCGGGTGGCGTTGGTGGACCTGGCTGGCAGTGAGCGTGTGTCCAAGACAAAGAGCGAGGGGCTGGTGCTGCGGGAGGCGGGGCACATCAACAAGAGCCTCAGCATCCTGGAGCAGGTCATTCTGGGCCTTGGGGACAAGAACCGGGACCACGTGCCATTCAGGTAGGGTTGGCTTCGGCTGTGCGGACTGGGTGGGTGATGGACGTGGGAGAGTCGAGGGGTATGGATAGGTGCACCATGGATGGTGCAAAACGCGGTTGGAAAGGTTGAGAGGGATGCTTTGACGCGTAATTGTTGCGCTCCCTTGCTGACATGGCCTCAGGTCTTGCAAGCTGACTCACGTGCTTAAGAACAGCCTCGGCGGTAACTGCCGTACGGTACTGGTGGCCAACGTGTGGTCCGACGTGGCGCAGACGGACGAGACAGTGAGCACATGTCGCTTTGCGCAGCGCATGATGCGGGTCACCTGCGAGATTAGCGCCAATGTGGTGCAGGACAGCAGCGCACGGGTGCGGCAGCTGGAAAGGTGCGCGCAAAGCGCGTGTCTGTCTGTCTGTCTGTCTGTGCGAGGGTGCCTCTTGAGGAGCCGGGTTGGTTAGTTGGTTGGTTGGTTGGTTGGAGCTTTGCGGGGTGTTCTGGATACAGTACCGGACCCAAGCAAGGTACCACACGAAGACGGCACCTGCTGCACCTTTGCATGCTTTGCGTGCCATGCATGTTTTCTGTCTTCATCCTTTCCATCCCGCCCCGGCCCGGTGCTGGTGCTCGCCTCCTACCTCGCCTCCTGCACTTCCCCCCCCCCTTCTTTCCCCTTACTAGGCAGGTGGCCGAGCTGCAGCAGGAGCTGGCCATGCACGACGCAATGGCCATGCGCTCCGGAATGCAGTACACGCCGTACAATGCGGCACAGCGCGGCGAGTTGCGTTCTCGCGTGCTGGACTTCCTGATGGCGGATGGCGGTGACGCTGGCGGCGCTGGGCCAGGCGGCGTGGAGAGCATCGACCCGCTGGAGCTGCACAGCTTGCGGCACATGCGGGAGATCCTTCTGGCGTGCAGGGTAGGGGCCGCAGGGGGGGGCCTGGGTTGGAAAGACCGGGTGAGCAGTGTGGTTTCCCGGAATCACCGGTCTGCCTTCTATGTGTCAATGTAAGTTAAGGGCAGCAAGGAGCGCGGCGGGGCAGAGGAATGGGCGCCTCGCTTTGTCATGCGAGTCGTTGCATGTGTTTCTGCATATTACCGTTGAGCTGTTGGTTCTTCAAACCCGTGGACGCATTCCTCGGCGGGCGCTGTAGCACTGCCGAAACCCCCTAGCCTGCAGCCCTCTCTCCTCTCCACCCGGCCCCACCACCCATTCACCGCAGCACCTCTATCGGGAAGCGCTGCGAGGCGCACCGCCTCGGGCGGCGGCGCCGAGCATGGAGCCTGGCGGCGCTGGTGCTGGCGCCGCCACCAGCGCCTCCACGTCAGCTGCGCCTTCTGCAACGGCGGCGCTTGTGCAGATCCGCCGGCCATCCTCCGCGGGCAGTAGCACCGGAGTCGCAGCCGCAGCGGCCAGGCAACCCAGTGGTAATGGCTACGGCGGCGGCCACGGCGGGGCCGGGGGCATCCTGAATGGTCCAGGACTAGTCAGAGCGGAACGACCGGGGAATGCGGGCGTGGCCCCGGATGATTTCCGGCCCAGTACCATGGGCGGCGTTGAGGACGGCAGCGGCGCCGCCAGCCTGGCAGAACGACTGCTGAGCCAGCAAGGGGCGGGAACCAGCAGCACCGGGGCGGGAGCTGTCACGTCAGGGATAGTGGCACCGGACAGGTGGGTCTTATGGTGGACAACTTGTAGGTGATTGGGTAGGAGGAATTGGAATAATAGCGGCAAGCGCTCTGGTGCGCTGCTACTGCTACAACTGTTGCCACCGGAACGGCTACTGCGGCTGCTGCTGCTGCTGGCTGCCCAGGCTGACCGCTCTGGAGGACTACAAGGCGGGTCCCGGTGCTCTTAAGGCCCGGTTGCTGGCTGACAACCGCGCCAAGCTCAAGACTAGTCGCACGCGGGCGAAGGAACTGGGGCTAGCGGTCAATGCGGCGAAGAGGGAGTTGGACTCACTCAAGACGCGGGAAGAGGAGCTGAAGCGGCAGCGGGTGCAGCAGCGGGGCGAAGGGTCGCAGGTGGGGGAGGGGGCTGGAAAGAGGGGTTGAGGTGGCTAGCTAGTGGGAGGGCATCCCCCGGGCTGCCTAGACGCGTCCGCTTGTTCAATATGCTTGGCAATCGCGCAATGTGGTGGCCGTAGAATGTAGAACCTTATGGCAGCTGGTGTTGTCATGCTTCATAGCAGTTTCTTGGTTTGTATGGACGAGGCGCTTCCATTTTCCTTTTAGCTTGCGGGTCTTTAGGCAGGTATAGGTTCTCAAACACCTTCTGGCGGGGTCGATGATAGGAGAGCCAAGGCGGCCTGTTGCGGTTTGCCTGATGCTTGCTCCTGAAGGTATTAGATGCGGAGGAGTACGACATCTTGATGCGGATTAAGGAGCTCAAAGTGTCGTATAAGGAGAACTTCAACGAGCTTCAAATCATCAAGAGCGAGGTCGACTACACCCAGGTAAAGTGGGTTGGCGTGTTGACATTGATAGGAGGCAAACCCTGTGAGGTTTTTGTGTTTGGGATGTCCCGGACGCCACACGCGTGTTGATAGTTTTCCACAGGTGCTCGTCGTTGGGTTTCAATGCATGTGCTGTGTGCGGTACTTGGGACGCATAGCATGTGCCGTGGTGTGCTGTGTGCTGCCCTCCTCCTTGCCCTCTCTCTCCCCCTTGCCCCTCAAACACTCTCACATGCAGGTGGTGCACTTCCACACTGTTTGCCGCACTGCGTTTTGGCAGTATTAGCGATATGTTCCCTTCTGAAAAACAACCCCCATAACAGGGCCTGGTGGAGCAGTGCAATAAGGAGCTGCTCCTGGAGTTCGCCGAGTGGTACGAGAGCACGTACGGCAGACCGCCGGCGGACGACGGGGGTGACGATGACGCGTCCAGTTCACCGCGCTGTGGGCCCTCCCCGCTGCAACCCTCTGCCGCCATGGCGTCGACGGGACCCGTCGCCTCTGCCAGGGCAGCCGGCGCCCGCTACCCTCCACCGCAACCCCTGGAGGCCACAGCTGGCACCACAACTGCGGGGAGAACAGCCATGGCGCCGCCATCCCCCAGCGGCTCTTCCGTTTCAGCTGGCAGTAGCCGCGGTGCTGGTGCTGCCGCCGCCGCCGCTGTCAGGATGAAGCCGCGGGCCGGTGGCGGCAAGGTGCCGCTGAGCAGTTTGGTAGCTCCATCAGGGGAGGAGCTGTCCAGCCCACAGGCGATGGCTTATTACAACGCTCAGCAGATGCTGTTGCAGAAGACCACGGGCGTGGTGCACCGGCCAGGCAGCGTGAAGAAGACGCGGCCCACGGCGGCGTTTGGAGGAGGGGCGCGCGGCTAGGCGGCCGGGAGCTTGGGGTGGTCGCCTCCGTTACAAGTTGGGTGGAAGGGGTGCAAGGGCAGGTGCGGGGCATCGGCCCGCGGACTTGGGATCACAGCGGGTTATAGCGGACTTTGTAACTTGACCGCCTGGTTGCGGGCCCCAAGGGTTCCGATCCAAGGTGACACTTGTACGACAGGGGTGATTCATTTTGTGTAATTCATCTCATGTGGTAACATGGCTACATGTTGTGCAGATGCAGCGCACGCCGGTCTGCCAACCCCATAAACTACCTATGCACATGGGTCACGACGGCTCCTGCGAGCCAATGGAGTCCCGTGAAAGCCGTGACACACTGTCTATGAGCCAGCTGCACAACGATGTTGCCAGTAGCCGACGAGTGGTTTCATCCTCGGGTCGTAGAACCAGACATTTGAGCCGGCGAGCGCCGTGGCTAATTGAACGAAGTACGGGTCGTTACCCACTGAGCGCCAGTCAGGGGCTGGGGTGTAAGGGACGAGGTGGCGCTGGAAGCTGGGCCCTGCAAAGCTGGCAGCACACCAGCGGGTGCGTCCACCACACAATCTGCATGGGAAGCGTATCGGCGATTAAGCAAGCTGCAGCTTGAGGAGGGCACCCGGCAGGCCTCCCCACCTCCCTGAGGAGAGGGAGCCATCCCGGCTTCAAGCGTAGGGTGCGCCTGTTGACCAGACAAGGTCTAAGGTGGTGGGCTCAGCACGCCACTGACGCTCTTCGTGTCCTTGCCGCCAGGGACTAAGTGCCTGATGCGCGTACTCGCCGGGGGTCTCCCCCCGAACTGCACCGAGGCGCAGAGGTGCGGGCCGGTTTTGATCGGATGCAGGGGGCCACAACCAAAACGATTCCCTGCGTGTGGGTCGACTTGTACGCCGTGAGCTGACTGACAATCATCTCGCGGTGCGCTTGTCGCCAGTGTGCATCAGCGCCAGGGTCCCATTGGCAATGGGGTCGTCCGCTCCATTCTCCTTGACGCCAATGTGCGCGAGGAAGGTGGCCTCGTCCTCCTGGGACTCTCGCGGTGATCATCGAGCATAACCGGCTGACCGGCAGTGACCGCTCGCCAAGGGCTGCCACAGTTCTGGGGGACAATGTGTGGCGCGGTAGGAGGATATACGAAAACCCGCCCAAGGACAGAGACATGCATTTGCAGTTTTCTTGTCCGGGGTGAAATGGTGCATGTGTAGATACAGAACTTCGTTCACTACAACCACACCAACCCAAGCGGGCAGCGCCCGGATGCAGACAGCACCGTAAATACGGCACGATCCGGTACAGATGGAGACAAGACTACGCACAGCACTGCGCAATTTAATGCAGGCCGTGCCGCCCACAACGCCCCGTGCCTTCTTGTCGTTCTGGTCCAGCTTTCGCTGGATGCACCAGCTGGGTTTGTCAGATGTTGGGGCTTGTTGTGCACCGGAACGTCCAGGTGACGCATCCTGCTGCAGACAGCCTCACAGCGATGTAATACATGCACATACAACACACACACGCAGGACTTTCTCACATGCCGCCCAACCGGGCGATGATGCGCAAGGAGGGCGGCAACGCACCCTACTCGGGAGGAAGCCTGGGTTAGATATCAAACCAACGATACCCCAGTGAGAGAGATACCAGAAGCCAACGCTTCTGACGCTCCTTGCTCAGAACAGAGCCCAGTCCTTGACGGAGCGAACCCGTCCTGTAACCTGTCGGCTCTCGCCGCTATTATGCGCTAACATTTTGGGGTTACAGGACGGGTTCGCTCCGTCAACTGGCGGATTAAGCCATAAGGTGTGGCCGGAGCAATCGAGCGACAGAAATTGACGCGATTCTGATCCAAAGGATTTACAGACGGCCGTGTTGCCATCGTCACTAGCCCAAGCGTCAAACGTAATCTTACGTCCAATTCTGTTTTCAATTGTCGCAATGATTGCCGGGTCGATTCGCATTCGCTGGCACGTGTTGTCTAGAAATTCTACACGCCCTTCTATTCTCGAATCGTCATCATCATGGTCAATCCCAGCCTGCTGGCCACTAGGCAGCTGGGCAGCACTTCATTTCCCGCACGTCTTAGCGAGGTGTCCCTGGCGACCGCACTTAGTGCAGAGGCCGTACCGCTTATAAATGGCCCATTCGGTTGCAGTGAGGTCATTTTTCCGCTTCTTCGCGGAGTTCTCATAGGCCGGCGGTGGCGGAGGCATCGCCTGCGGCGGAGGCACCGGTCGCGGCACCGGTCGCGGCGGCGGCGGTGGCCCGGCGTTCGAAGGCGTTCGAAGGCCCGTCATTGCCGGCCTATGAG